CCCATTTCCCCTTCATTATTCCACAATTCCATCTCCAAAAATAACAACTTGATAAGTCCCCCATTTCAACCCTAATATCTGGTATCAAAGCCCATTGTTCCACATCCCCAAGGGCCAAAAACACTTCCCTCAACCTTCCTCTTACCCTCAAGCATTTCGTCCCAAACCTACTGCAAAAAAACAGCCCAACAAAACCCACTTTTCTTCAGTCATTCCCTACTGCCCAGAACCAGCCCCAAAAAAAGTCATTCCTCCCTCACCTTTTGCTTTGGTTTGAGAAGCCAAAGACTGCCCAAAAACCCAAAGGCCCACCCACATTATCACCTAAAAAAGCCCCTGACTAAATCATCCAAAAACCAAGCCAAAACATACTCCAAAAACCTTCCAACTCACTGCCCAGGAACCAACCCCAACATAACCTATCTTTGTTCACCTTAGGCCCCCAAAAACCAACCCCAATCCAGCCAACCTATACCCCAAAATACCCTGCACTTCTTCTTCCTTAATACCATGTAAAACCACTCCCAAAACATGTCCCATGGAGATTTAGTTGCTGAACAGAATAAACTCAAGAAGGAGCTTGATGCTTTGATGAAAAAGATTGGAGAGTTCACAAATTCAGTGGACATTCTGACCTTTGAAGGAAGAAACGATCCAGAGAAGTTCCGACAGTGGCTCAAGAAGGTTGAACATATCCTAATCTTCAAGGATATGCCCGAAGGCAAAATGGTCAAGCTTGTAGCATCCCGGCTCCAACGAAACGCTTCCACTTGGTGGACACATATTTCCATTAAGAGAAAGTTCGAAGGAAAACCCAAAGTACAAACATGGGAGAAGATGAGGAAGCTGTTGATCAAGAGATTTTTGCCAAGAGATTACCATCACATGGTCCCCCCAAAAGCCGTTAAAACTCATGTCCCAACCGTACCTTCGTCTCCACAAAAACCGCCCCATGAAGCCCCTCCAAAAACACCCAGAGCAAGCACCCTACACACTTTCCAGTTCAGTAGTATAAACTTTTATCTACGTCTGGCCGCTGATTTCACTCAATTCTGAGTTACGGTTTGAGAGATATGCCCTCCCAAAGTTTATAGCGCAGTTCTGGCCGGATTCCGACTACCTTGCTGAATTTGTCTCCAAAGAGGTAGAAAACATTTTTCAATGGCTCTGAATTTTTGATATGTCATTAAGGACTTGAATATCTAACAGTGAGAGTTGGAATCACCCAATTCCAATATCTGATTGGTGAGATATGGTCTCTAAAAGACATCTCAAAAACCTAGAAATTATTCTTTGCAAACGGAGCAATATTACAATGGGCTTCCCGACGATGTTTCATGTGTGGTGGCTATTGACATAACAATTTAGAGTGCTCGAATAAGCATGCCATCCCATATGAAGAGTGGACCAAGGATGATGAAGAAAGTTGTTCCTTTGAAGGAGCAATAAATGATCCAATTCCACTTGAAGAACCAACTCTTGATGAGGAAATGAAAAGCTCCGACAATTTAAACATCCCCGTTGAGGATGTCTTTGACTTCCATGTTGACTATGTAGAAGAGGTCATCATTGATGAACTTATTCTAGGGGCACCGGAGCTGCCTAATCACGCCCTCGTTTCTAATGCTGATGATTATGAGACTTCCTTTGTTTTTTATCATTTTGTTAAAATAGGTATATATGAAGGAAGAAGTGCTGAGCTCAAGAAAATACGCGAAGGATGATCACCCGGAGTACTATATGTCGTTCAAGAATGTCATAACATTCCGGGAACTACACAACAAGGTATCTATAGATCCCAGAGAGAGCCTCCCCGTTGGTGGTTCAATAAGTTTCCCATTTGATCCGGGAATACTTATATGAAACCATAATCTTCTACGTTGGTGCGAAAGTTTGAGATCAAACTTTCTTCAAAGAAAGGGAGTATGTTATATCCCTGGATGGCTTCACCAAAAACCAATTCCCAAAATATCCAAAACAACCAGCCCAAAAACCACATTATTCCCATCCACTCTTCCCTTCACTCTTGGCCAAAAATCCCTGCCCTAACCCCATCATTGTTCCCCATTATGTCCATCAACTTGGATACACAAACAGCCACTATGATCGAAGACATAAGGACCCACCATTACACCAATCAAACCTTACCTTGTTCCCCATAAAACTACCCACAATAAACCTCCAAAACAACCAGCCCCCTCCTGCACAATCCCTTCCCCCTTGGCAAAATAATCAACCCATTCATCAATAAAATTAGCCTTCATTCACATGCCAAGCAACCCCACAATCCAAGGCACACATCTCTGATTTCTTTCCATTAAGGAGACAATAATAAATGGGTATTATCCCATGTTTTTGAAATAGTTGCTTCCAGGAAGTTTCCTCATGTTTACATTTAATGTACTATGTATTTCCCCCCTTCCCCTCTCCCTATATAATCAGGCCCTATGGCCATTGCAAACACAACCTTTTGAATATTAAAATCTTATACTCTTTGAGTATTATTAAAATAGTGTGATGCTATTTTAGCCAAATTCCTAATTCTATATCTTAAGAGTGGTTATCTAAAGTGTGAGTTTTAGATTCTAGATATTTGACTAAGTGTGTCATATCTTAATTAAATTCTAGATTCAAACCCCAAGTTAGGATAAGAGTGTGTAATATCTCTTAAACACCAACTTGGTTTATCCATCTCTGATTTTCTTCCATTTCATACCTCCCCATTTCTCCTCTTAATCTTACTCTTTTCTTCCATTAAAAATACCCAAAAGAACTCCCTCATCAGCCCCATATATTTCCAACCCATTCCCTGCAAAAACGCCTTTCTTCCTGTCCAGAATCACTGCCAAATAATCGATTATCACTCCCCACAATCGATTATCAGTTCCATTGGAAACATCTGCAGGTAGTAATAATCGATTATCCTTTTAAGATAATCGACTATCACTCATTCCCAAAAAATCTGCAGCCTTTCATAATCGATTATCACTTCTTGTAAATCGATTGTTTATTTCTCCTAAACTTCTGAAGCTCCTCCTGAGAAACTGAATCACTTGACAATCGATTATCCTACTTGGACAATCGATTATCATACATCAAGGGAAACTCTTGCAGTCCTATATAATCGATTATCATCATACTGATAATCGACTATTAACCCATCCAGCAAAAGAAGGAGCTTGTTCCTTAAATCCGAGCTTAATACCGACAAACCCGGAGCGTAGATATAACAACATTCATGCGGCTTATGAATCAAGTCTTGAAGCCGTTTATAGGTCATTTTGTCGTTGTCTACTTTGACGACATTCTGAAATAGCAAAAATGAGGAAGATCATGCTAATCACCTCACATTGGTGATTAAGAAGTTGGACGAGGAGAAACTCTATGGCAACCTCGAAAAGAGCCAATTCTTTTCGCATGAAAGGGAGTTCTTGGGATACTTTATCTCAAGTGAAGGCATACGGGTGGACGAAAAGAAGACACAAGCCATTAGAGAATGGCCGACCCCCACACTATGCAACAAGTACGGAGTTTTCATGGCCTTGCCTCTTTCCACCGGAGATTTGTGAAGGATTTTAGCACCATCACGGCACCTATCACGGATTTGACGAAAAATCAGAAGTTCGAGTGGAACTCCAAGGCCCAACAGGCCTTTGGAACAATCAGGGATCGATTAACACATGCCCCTGTCTTAGCCCTTCCTAGTTTTGATAAACTATTTGAGGTCGAGTGTGATGCCTCGGGAGTTGGAATCGGGGCTTTCCTATCCCAAGAAGGGCACCCGGTGTCGTACTTTAGCGAGAAGCTAAACGACACGAGGAGGTATTCCACATACGACAAGGAGTTCTACGCATTGGTGCGGTCACTTGAGCATTGGCGTCATTACCTCGTGAGCAAGGAGTTCATCTTACATTCCGATCATGAAGCGTTAAAATACATTCAAGGGCAGCATAAGCTCCGACCCCGTCATGCTAAATGGGTCGAATACATCCAAACCTTCACCTTTACCATCAAGCACAAAAACGGAACCATGAACAAGGGCGCCGATGCCTTGTCCCGGAGACACTTATTACTAACGGTACTTAGTACCAAACTTGTTGGCTTTGAGTTTTTGCATGAGCTTTACAAAGAGGGTGAAGACTTCAAGGACACTTATTCCAAGTGCCTTATTCGGCCACATGGAGAATTCCTAATCAAGGATGGTTTTCTCTTCCGAGGAAACCAACTTTGCATCCCAAAATGCAGCGTTCGAGAAACCCTCATTGATGAAGTTCACGGAGGAGGCCTAGCTGGTCATTATGGGGTCGATAAGACTCACATGATGATGAAGGAACACTACCATTGGCCAAGGACAAAACGAGGCGTGGAACACGTCATCAAGCGTTGCAACACGTGCCACCTCGCCAAAAGTCAGTCGCTGCCCCAAGGAAAGCACTTGCCCCTACCCGTCCCCCTTGCTCCATGGGAAGATATCAGCTTGGACTTCATCACCGGGCTGCCAAGGACTCAACGAGGCAAAGATTCTATCATGGTCGTCGTGGATCGATTTTCAAAGATGGCCCACTTTGTACCATGCCTCACCACCTATGATGCTTCCCAAGTAGCTGACCTCTATTTCCGAGAGAAAGTCAAACTCCATGGCGTTCCCCGAAGCATGGTCTCGGATAGGGACACGAAATTCCTTAGCCATTTTTGGATGACCCTATGGAGAAAGTTGGGTACTAAACTGAAGTTTAGTACGCCGAGCCACCCACAAACCGATGGCCAAACCGAAGTCACCAACCGCACCCTTGGAACACTCTTACGAGCTCTCATCAAGAAGAACATCAAGCAATGGGAAGAGCTTCTACCGCACGCTGAGTTTGCCTACAACCGAACCCCAAACAAGACTACCGGGCTATCCCCATTCACGGTGGTCTATGGTTCGAACCCCTTGACCCCACTTGAACTTGATCCGATCATCATGGACACCAAATATAGTTGGGAAGCGGACAAGCGGTCAAAGGAAATCCAAGACCTTCACGCCAATGTTCGAGACAAGATTGAGGCTATGAACGAGAAGATAAGCGCACGCATCAACAAAGGAAGGAAGGACGTCCACTTCCAACCGGGAGACCTTGTATGGATTCACCTTCGGAAAGACTGTTTCCCCACGAAACGCAAATCAAAGTTGCTGCCAAGAGCCGATGGCCCGTTTGAAATCTTAGAGAAAATCAACGACAATGCCTACAAGATCAACCTTCCGAGAGATTATGGAGTATCGGCTACTTTCAATATCAAGGACATTAGTCCGTACTTCGAGCCTAAAGAAATGCCAAGTTTGAGGACAAACTCTTTTGAAGACCGGGTGGATGATATACCCCGGGTAACCACCAACGACTCTAAAGTCCTTAAACAAATCAACGGAATAATGGCCAAGTGTTATGATCCCTTTTGGAGTGAATTTATCACCATTAAAAACCATAACCTAACCATAATGTCCTTGGATCCTTCCCCACCATGAGGCCAAACCCCAACCTTGGCTAAAACCACCACACCCTAAATATCCAAACCAACCTTTAAAACCACAACCCAACCCTCCTCTTCTGCCCTCACCTTTGGCCAAAACACTAAACCCAAAGCCCACACATCACCCCACCATTTGAACCCACCTTAGATTAATAATTACAATCCCAATAATAGCCTAATCAACCATCCCCTCTTTCCCCCTTGTTGTGGCCGAAAACAATCAGCCAAAAACCTTCCCAAACCCATGTCACAGTGACAATTGAAGTTTTTCGGGTAGTAAACCTTCCCAGTAAAGGGTTAGTTTTCTCTCCGAGTGTCGTGTCTCTCGAGGAGTGGAAGAAGGGAATGAGTTTAATTTCTCTAACTAGGCGAAGGTTAGGACTGATTTATGAAAGTCTTCTCGGTACAAATATAAAAGGAGCAGAGTAAAAATAATAAATTAAGTTTACATAGTATAAGTATAGATCTGGACCTAGGGTCTGGACATCATTTGGATCTATTTTATCATATTAAATTAACAATTGGAATAATAATATTTCTATTACTACTCATCCATTTCTAGATTTTTACTTAATCCGTTGCTCTTGGATATCATAGCCTTTTGGCATAAAACATTTTCTCAATAAATAGCCAATTACATCTTTCGAGAATAATTAACTAAATAAGGCAAGAACAATAGATTAACCATTCCAACATTAATTTAACATAAAAAATAAACAACCAAACTAGTCCGGACCCAGAGATCCGGACCCTAACTCATACTATGCGAACATAAATTAAAACAGCATTTTATTAAATAAAGAAAACTTACAACTTCTGTAAAAGCGGAACAGAACAGATCGGGAGTAGAATTCCTCCAAAAATTACTCTAAAACTACTAGAATGCTAAACTAATATTTGGAACTGGAATATAAAGCTTAATTCCCGAAAATGGGAGTGAAAGTGATGGGTTGAATGGGGAGAATCACGCTGTATTAATAGGACAGAGGCCGAGGCGTCCAAGTCAAAGCGTCCAAGTCCAGGCGTCTTGATCCGGACGCTTGAGCTGCTCCGGCCAACCAGGTTCCGCCACGTGTCTTCCTTGGTCTGCAATCCAGCGAAGGCGTCCAACTCCCTAGCGTCCAACTTGGCCAAGCGTCCAACTTGGACGCCTTGAGGCCTTGGTCCGTTGGGCTTCGCGGCTGTTTCGTGATTTCGGCCCAATTTCGCTCCGTTTTGGCCCCGAACACTATTTTTGACCTCCCGGAAGCTCGTTCAAGCCCGAAAATGGATAATTTATGATGATTTCATGTGGAATCCCTTTTTATGACTCTTAGAACGAAAAGGAGAGTTTTATCCATTAAAATCACATTTTATGAGATGATTAAATATTATTTACGTGCAATAACGTTTAGAATATGATGTAAATGATAAGAACGAAACGGACTTATCAAATTCCTCACACTTAAATGTTGCTTGCCCTTAAGCAACAAATTGAATAATTACAAGTATAAAGGCAAATTAATAATCGCAGAGGGAATGTTTAAGCTACATATTATGAAGGAAAGAAGAAATAAGATAGTCATCAACCTTTTTGTTAAGAAGGAATGAACCTTTAGATTCTCACCCATATTGTTAGAAATGTAAAAGAATTTTTTCAAACCAATATTTTTACACCAACCTAAACAGCCAAAACTTTCCAAACTTTCTTTGGGATAACTACATTTGTAAGAGTACTTTAAAGATCAAATAATTTTTTAATGGCTAAATTGGAAAACATGTTCTTGCAAAAGTATTTGTCAAAGTGTAAGGGTTCAATTTTCTTTGGCATAACTTTGTCATGTTGACACGAGAAAAATTTATAACCTCATCCCGTGACATAGAACCACGAGCTTTTTGGATATTCACTCTGGAAAGTCTCATCACACGACATAGAACCGCATGCTTTTTGACTCTAACACTCAAAAGGCCTCATCACGCAATATAGAACCACGTGCTTTTCGGCATACTCGCCACGCCTCATCAATTGACATAGAACCAATTGCTTTTTGGCTAAAACAAGAATCTCGGTCCCACCAAAGTATGCTTTGAAACATCACCCCTTATACTTTGAAAATAACTGTTTTTAAGAAATAACAAATACTCATAAGAGCATCAGCAAAAAGATTTTCAATAAAGCACTTAAAAATTGATTGATCTTAAAAACTCTTAGTAAATTGTGAATTTATCCCAAATCATTTTAGAAAACATTCCCAAAAAGGTTAGAGTAGAAATAGAAGTTTGACAAAAAGTTTAAAAATTTCCAATTTTTACGGGTGATAACTAAAGATTAATTAATCAAACAATTAAAATTGATGACTATTCTATAAAAATATTTTCCTAAAAAATATATAGACAAAATGATTCCTAAAAAGATCATTTCAACAAAGAACTCTTGCCTCCTCACACTTAAACGGAACCACGCCCTCGTGGCTAAAAGTATTTTGGCATTGGAGTTAATGGTTGAAATGCTCACATGCAATTACTAAGTTATCTCAATACTTATAAAATTCAAAGATGAAGGTTGAAATAATAGATGACCATAACATGTAAGTATGAAATAATTCATAAAATATTCTCAAAAGGGTTTTAATAGTCATGAAAAGAAGAATTCTAACATAAGATCATATAAATATCCAAAAATGATGTTCTGAATGTAGTAATAGAAAAATTAGGGATCTCACTATCCCCGACGTTTGCCTTGTTTAGGACCTTCCTTATGCTCGGCTTTCTTTGTTCCTTGCTCCCGGGTGTATTCAAGTATTTCCTCCACCTGCCATTGTTGCGTAAGAAGGAGCTTCTCCATGCTCCTCAAGCTAGAGTCCACAGAATCCTGAAATGCAAACATAGCTTGTGAAAGCTCGCGAAGGGTCATAGGGATAGTATGCTTCCGTCTGGGTCGTGCCTCCTTGTCTTCCTTATTGTAAGCAGTCTGGGCCAAATACCCTGTTGGTGGTCGGAGATGCTTGCAGCTTCTGGAGAACATCGGGGACTGTCATACATAATCCTCGGGCCAGAAGCGTAACCATTGGCCCACTTAAGACAAACCGGTGGTTGTAAGTTGACTGAGCAAATAGGAATCGAGCCACAAAAGTTGCTAGATTGACCGGTACGCGTGCTTCCAGACTCCAGAAAAATAGCATATCAGAATCAAACACCACGTCAGGGCCGTGGGAACGGCCGAAATAGCTATGAGTCAATGCATGGTGTAAAATTCTCCAAGACGGACGCACCCAATTCCTAGCTATGCTTGCTCCGCTGTGATCTCGTCCATACCCGTGAGCTTGCCAGAACTTCTTAACATCAAACTCCAGATCCAACTGGTCGGGCAGATTAGCAAAGGCCAGGCTCCGCGTTTCATCAACCGTGTAAAGACCAATCAGCCACCCCAAGTCTGCCACAGTAAGGTTCAGAAGTCGTCCCATCAGAGTGAATGTGACCTTGGTGGTGGAGGTAACTTCAGCTGCTGACTTTACTTCCTCTCCGTCATTGAGGAAGCGGAGAGAGCAAAGAAACTCGATGGTGACTTCCATGCTAGCTGGTGCATGCAGGAATAGCAGGATCATCCATTTTGGGTCGTACAGCAACTCATCAATGTCCTGCCAGTGCCCCAGTTCATCCAGATAGGCAGGGTCTAGCACCATGGGAGGCTGGAGCATCTTCATGTTTCCCCAAGTAAGAAACTTCTTCTTTGCTTCTTCTGAGTGCAAGGGGAGCTCTTCCAGGTTCCGTAATGTGCGGCAGTTTCCATGCGGGATCATCCAAGCAATATCCATCTGTTTAAAATTAGAAAAGTAAAACAAGTAAAATCTTGCCCCCAGCTAGTGCGGCAAGTAAAAATAGATTATTTAAATATTTTTAATTAACTGACGGGTTGCCTCCCGTTAAGCGCTTCTTTAACGTCCGTAGCTTGAAGCTCACCACTTTTTCCGTGACTTTCCGATCCGAGAGTCATAAAGTTTGACCCTTTTGACTCTCTTCTGATGCCACCTTATTTGAGTTTTTGCTCGGTCAAGGTCCAAGATCCTTGACTCATCCCTGTGGCTTGACGGCAACAGGATATATGGAGGAAACTTTGTATAGGTGGGTGGTGGTGGAAGTCTCCTCAATTGATCCATATCATTAGCTTTGATTGCGAAATTGATGCCTTCCTTATCTTCAATTGGCTGACTATCCATTTGTGGTTTAATGATTACGACCATGCTTTTCCCCGCGGATGAGTCTTCAGTGTCACTTACCAGAAGTTCATCCCAACTCTTTTGGCTCCAACCATCGTTCGAGCAGACATAGTCGCACCCGTCAAGTAGGGAGTCAAAGAAGGTATGGTCTGAATCTTCAGATAAAGCGTTATGTACACAGGTTTCTATAAGCGGAGATTGCTTTTCCATGCGGAGTAATTCCTCGTCTATAGATTCCTGCTCAGACACTTGGACATTGATATCTTGGGGGCAGGTGATGGGCTCTACTTCCTCCAGAACAGGTTCCTCTGGAGGTGTGTCTTCAACACAATTAAGGAGATGGTCGTTTATTGCCGTAGGCAGAACTTCCTCCTCCTTTTCTTGAATGAGCGTAAGTGGTTCTGAGTCAGGTCCCTCAGTTGGTTCCACCTCATGTACGACTATGCTGGTTGGGACTTGGCTAGGAGGGTATTCAGGTAACATTACCACAGTAGCCCTAGCGAGAGTTGTTATGCTCTCGGGTTTCTGTGATGGTGTAAAACTAGGTGAATCTTCTAGAACTAGAACCTGATGGTTGAATGTTTCAGGGTTGGTCTTAGGTTCTAGAGCCTCTTTTTGAGCATTAATTTCCCTCATTTGATCTTGAGATTGGAGGAAGCGTTTAAGTTCAACAGCCATACAGAGATCATTGACTAATTTATCGGCTTTAGACTCAGCTTCTAGTCTCTCTCTTTGAAAGTCGTCCAGCATTTTCTGCATCATTTCTGATCCTTCGCATAATCTCCTATCGAACTCCTTTTCCTTCCGGACAAATTCAAGAAGTTTTGCTCTTTCTCGAATTGCCACCTTGTTTGCTTCAATTTGTTCTTCAGCAAACAAAGTGTAGTCACAGCAGTAAGGTGGTTCATACCAGGAGCCTTTAGCGAATAAAACCTCGTCGAAATAGAAAATTTTCTGTTCTAATCTTATGATCTCTTTGACGAGTGGATCAGATTGATCGTCGCTCATAGGCCCAGATTGGTCAGAGTCATCTTGGTCGCCATGAGGTTCATAATAATTATCCGTATCAGAATCTTGGTATGGAGAATATCCAAAGTTTCTAGACGGGGTATCATATGGGTTTTCCTCATGGTAAGGATAGTAGTCAGACCCATTGTTGACTTGGTAGTCATCACCATATGCGTACTGATGTGGGTGATAAGGTGGATGGGTTTGAAACGAAGGGCGGTTGGGTGATTGGTAGAAAGAAGGCAGAATGTAATAACCACTGGAGTTATCCATAATAAGTATTACGGGTGGTTGGTGAAAAAAAAGTGAGAAGATCGTTCTAACCAATCTTTTACCCATAGAAGAAATTAAACTAATGTCGTGCCACTCCCCAGCAACGACGCCATTTGACATTTGAAGTTTTTCGGGTAGTAAACCTTCCCAATAAAGGGTTAGTTTTCTCTCCGAGTGTCGTGTCTCTTAAGGAGTGGACGATGGGAATCAGTTTAATTTCTCTAACTAGGCGAAGGTTAGGACTGATTTATGGAATTCTTCTCGGTACGAATATAAAAGAAGCAGAGTAAAAATAATAAATTAAGTTTACATAGTATAAGTATAGATCTGGACCTAGGGTCTGGACATCATTTGGATCTATTTTATCATATTAAATTAACAATTGGAATAATAATATTTCTATTACAACTCATCCATTTCTAGATTTGTACTTAATCCGTTGCTCTTGGATATCATAGCCTTTTGGCATACAACATTTTCTCAATAAATAGCCAATTACATCTTTCGAGAATAATTAACTAAATAAGGCAAGAACAATAGATTAACCATTCCAACATTAATTTAACATAAAAAATAAACAACCAAACTAGTCCGGACCCAGAGATCCGGACCCTAACTCATACTATGCAAACATAAATTAAAACAGCATTTTATTAAATAAAGAAAACTTACAACTTCCGTAAAAGCGGAACAGAATAGATCGGGAGTAGAATTCCTCCAAAAATTACTCTAAAACTACTAGAATGCTAAACTAATATTTGGAACTGGAATATAAAACTTAATTCTTGAAAATGGGGGTGAAAGTGATTTGTTGAATGGGGAGAATCACGCTGTATTTATAGGACAGAGGCCGAGGCGTCCAAGTCAAAGCGTCCAAGTCCAGGCGTCCCAATCCGGACGCTTGAGCTGCTCCGGCCAACTAGGTTCTGCCACGTGTCTTCCTTGGTCTGCAATCCAGCCAAGGCGTCCAACTCCCAAGCGTCCAACTTGGCCAAGCGTCCAAGTTGGACGCCTTGAGGCCTTGGTCCGTTGGGCTTCGCGGCTGTTTCGTGATTTCGGCCCAATTTCGCTCCGTTTTGGCCCCGAACACTATTTTTGACCTCCCGGAAGCTCGTTGAAGCCCGAATCTTGATCCATTGATGATTTATTCCCTTTTTCTCAAGTATTTGAACATAAAATGAGAGTTTTATCCATTAAAATCACATTTTATGATATGATTAAATATTATTTACGTGCAATAACGTTTAGAATATGATGTAAATGATAAGAATGAAACGGACTTATCACACAGCCCCCACAACTGTTCCCCATTATACTCTCCATTATGTGTAAGGAAACAAGCTCCAAACAAACAAAACATATTGGCCCACCTTGGCAGCCACCCAACTCACCTTTGCTCTCCAAACAACCTATTACATCCCCCCAAAATAGCCAACCCACTCACCCCTTGTACCCCCCTGCCTGGCCGAATCAACCCACCCAATACCCTCCAAAATTGCAGCCCACTCCACCATAACTTGCCCACAATAATAACCCAACAACAGCCCCACAAACCAGCCCCTATATCTGATTTTCTTCCCCACCAAAGGACTCAAATAAGTGGTTATTATTCCTTTAATTTGTGTGAATAAGAGACTTGGTGTTGTATCTTGGCTTAGGTTGTTTGAGGAAAAACAGTGGTTTTAATATGGAGAAGGAGTGATAGTCGATTATCTAAAGAGATAATCGATTATTGAAGGGTTCAGTTCTCAAAGGATTTGGCGGAGATTTTCTGAAGGGGGTGATAATCGATTTACACAAATATGTAAATCGATTATTGATGACTGCAGGTGTTTCTCGTAAGTTGATAATCGATTTTTCCAAGCTGGTAATCGATTATTGGGCAGTTTCATGGAAAGAAAAAGGAGGTGTTTTAGTAACGGGGATAAACCAAGGAGGTCTAAGAGATATAATACACTCTTATCCTTTCTTGGGGTTGAAATCTAGACTTCAATTAAGATATAACACACTTAATGAAATACTAGAACCTAACACTCACACTTAAGGAAACCAACCTTAAGATATAGAAATTAGGGATTTTGAAAACAACACAACAAGTTGTATTATCTTGAAAATAGGCTTACAAAAGACGGATTACAATGAGGCCCCTTGGCCGAAATAAATATAAGCAAGAAAAGGGAAATTCCAGGCAACTTCCTTAAACAAATTTCCAGATTAATATCCAATTGATCACATTATTTTATGGAATGAAAATCAAGGATGAGGGGAAATTTGGCTTTGATGTTTTCGGCCATATTGAGAGACAAATGGGTGTGTGGGAATATTGTGATTTGAGGATAATTTTGATGGGGTTTTAATGTGATGGTTTCGGCCATATTAGGGAGACAAAGGGGTGGTTTGATGAGAGGATTATTTGGTTGATTGTGTGATGAAATATATGGTGGGTGAGGGGTTATATTCGGCCATCAAAGAGGAAAAATAAGGGGTGTGAATATTTTGTGTTGTTTGGCTTTTAATGTATAGACTATATGGTGAGCAAGCTTATCAAACAACACAAATGCTCTTTGGCCTATTCTTGAGTGTACATTCGGCTTTACTCATCTTGAGCCAAGTCTTCACAGGGGCCTTATTCTCTCGCCTTCTTTTGGTGGAGAGGTTGGACCACCAAGTGGAGGCATACTTCCGGAACATCAATGCCACAATCTTGACTTTCTTATCTTCGGGCACATCATTGAAGTCAAAGACGCGCTCAACAGTTTCTAGCCACTCTAGAAAGTCATCCGGATCATTCCTCCCTTCAAAGGTTGGTATGTCAACCTTGAAATCGGTAGCTCCTCGTTCATGATTCTCCTCTCTAGTGGTGTAACTAGAGTTAGCTTCGGGGTGAACTTCTTCGTCTTCATCCCTTTCCTCCGGGGTATTCACCATGCTCATCTTGAGCTTAATGAGTTGGGCAACTTGCTTGGCCAAGTATTAAACTTGGGCCTTGAGAGCGGCATTGGAGGCTAGGAGTTCTTCGTTGGACAGGTTGTTGGAAGTGTTTGACATGACGATAGCAAGGGAGGGAAAAGGAGAAGGTATGTAAAGGAAGGAAAAGAGGAAGTGTGTTGTATGGCCTCAAGGGAATGCTCAACAACAAGCTTTGATGCCAAATGTTATATCTAAGCTCAAGGTTTTATGGGTAATGACCATGACTTAAGGAACACAACTCCTTTATTTACAAGGGGGGAAGATAATCGATTGTCCTAAATGGATAATCAATTGTCAAGGGGTTCAGGTTCTTGGGCAAACTTTCTAGGATTTTCAGGGAAGGGTGATAATCGAGTGACAGAGGGGTGTCAGTCGACTATTGAAGGTTGCGGGTAACTGGGGAAGGCTGATAATCAATTGTCTTATAAGGATAATCGATTATTGAAGGCTGCGGGTGTTTCAGGAAGGATGGATAATCGATTATTATCAGTGAAAATCGATTATATGACGACTCGGGAAAAAGAAAAGAAGTATTTTCTTGGGGAGGGGAATAAACCAAGTTGGTGTTAAGGGATATCACACACCCTTATCTTAACTTGGGATTGAGTCTAGCATTCAAATAAGATATCACACACTTATTTAAATAACTAGAACCTAAAACTCACACTCAAGAGAACCACTCTTAAGATATAGGATTAGGAATTTGGAATGAAACACACAAGTGAATCACTTTGATTAAAAATGGAATACACTGTGTTCGTACACCCAGGCCTATTGCTGAATGTATAGAATTACATTGGAGGGGAAATGTTGGGGGAAGGAATGATGAATGTGAGGGAAGGAATGATGAATGTGGGGAGGGCTGAGGTTGAGGGCCAAGAAGTGGGGGTAAGATAATGTGGTACATTTGGTTGGGTATTTGTGGCAGTTATGGGGGAATTTGAGTTTGGTCAGGATGGGGAGACAAAGGGGTGTGTGTGGGGTGTGTTATTTGGAGTTTTGTTGTAGGTTTGTTGTGGGGAGTGGAGGTATTATTGTGAAGGAAAATATCCCTGGGCATTTGGGTTGTAATTTAAGTGTATTGGGGAACATAATGAGGGCCACATTGGGTGTTGTTTTGGACACTTATTTTCGGCATTGTAAAAGAAAAAAGGGAAGGGAAATTGTGGTTTTGTTTGCTTTGGATTCCCGGGAATGATTTTTGAGATGTTGGATTGGTTATTAAGGTGGTGATGGGTTAAGGGTAAGTATGGTTAGGGTGCATGGTTTGGTGATGATTTCATTCCAAAGGGGATCATAACACTTGGATATTATTCCATTGATTTGCTTTAGGACTTGAGGACGATTTGTGGTGCTCGGGGATATATCAAGTTTGTTCCTCTAGCTCATGTTCCCAAAATGGCGCGATAGTTTCTTTGTCATCTTGAATTTCTTCGAGCTCTATATTTCTCCCACTAGTTGCGTTGGAGAGAAATTCCTTCTCGAGGAAGACACCATTGTGAGCAACGAATACCTTCTTATCGATAGGGTGATAGAATGAATACCCTCGAGTTTCTAATGAATTGTAGTTTTTCGGGTAGTAAACCTTCCTAGTAAAGGGTTAGTTTTCCCTCCAAGTGTCGTGTCTCTCGAGGAGTGGACGAAGGGAATTAATTAATTTCTCTAATTAGGCGAAGGCTTAGACAAGTTTATGAAAGTCTTCTTGGATCGATTATAAATAGAGCAGAGTAAAAATAATAAATAAATTTCACATAGTATAAGTGTAGATCTTGATTTAGGGTCAGAAATCTATTTTATCATATTAAATTAACAATTGGAATAATACTATTTCTATTACTACTCTTCCATTTCTAAATTTGTACTTAATCCGTTGCACTTGAATAACATAGCCCTTTGGCAAACAATATTTTCTCAATAAATAGCTAATTAAATCTTCTGATATTAATTAACTAGATAAGGCAAGAGCAATTGACTAACCATTCCAATATTAATTTAACATTCAAAATATACAACGAAACTAGTCTGGACCCAGAGATCCTAACTCATACTATGTAAACATAAATTAAAACAACATTTTATTAAATAAAGAAAACTTACGGCTTCCGAAAAAGCGGAACTGAACAGATCGAGAACGGAATTTCTCCAAAAATTATTCTAAAACTACTAATATGCTAAACTAAAACACGGAATTGAAATGTGGAGCTCAAATCCCGAGATTGGGACTGAAAAGTGATGGTTGAATGGTGTGAAACGCGCTATATTTATAGGACATAGGCCGAGGCGTCCAAGTAGAAGCGTCCAAGTCCAGGTGTCCAGATCAGGACGCTTGAGCTGTTCCAGCCAACCAGGTTTTGCCACGTGTCAGTCTTGGAGCGCAATTTAAGCAAGGCGTCCAACTCAAAGCGTCCAACTTGGTCAGGCATCCAAGTTGGACGCCTTAAGCCCTTAGTCCGTTGGGCTTCGCGGTTGGTTCGTGATTTTGGCCCAACTTCGCTCCGTTTTGGCCCCGAACATAAAAAACTCACTTGATCTATGGGGTGAACAAGTCGTGCTAAGGCTGTACCCTTCCCTCCATTGAAGTTTATTGACAAGCTGTGTCTCCCCATAAGTGTGATTAGCAGCAGCAGCATTGCAAGAGGCGGTGAACAGAAGCAAATAGTATAGAAGACCAATAAATGATGATGAACCCCTTAGCATTTTCAACACAATATATGATTTACATATGCAAAAAGATTGTGTTTGGTGGATAGTTTCTGAAATGCTAGGAGAGAAAAAAAGAAAGGAAAGGGATATGGTGAAGAAGAAGACGGAGATTCCTGGGTGGGGGTTGGAACTTGGAAGTAGGCATCACAACAAAAGGTCGAGGGGTCTGGCTGGAGGGGGTGGCCCACTCTTGCATGAGAAATTATTGGCACTTCACATGCATATATTGGAGTGTGGTGTGTGGGGGGAGTGGCGAAACTTCTTTGGTGCTGCTCCGATCTTCATCCTCAATTCCTTTCTCTTTTTAATTTTTTTGCATATACATTTTAGAGGTGAGCATGGTACGGTATTTAGCGCATACCGATACCGTACCAAATATTTCGGTTTGGTATGGGATTTTACCCCGTACCGATCCCGATCCCAAAATATCGGTTCGGTATGGTTCGGGATGGTTCGGTATCGGTGTCGGTACAAATCGGGATGAATATACATACCTACTTTACACGTTAAAATTTAACAATGCCCCTTTATTTTTGAAAATTAAAAAGTGAATCTAAATAAAAAACATGAAAATTAAAAGAAATGAATATTTAAATGAAAGAGATGTGTATCAAAACTTAGTTTATACGGAGTATTTCACAAACTAAAAAAATGAACGACAATAAAGGAATATTTCAAATCTTTGTGAATACTTTTATGTTCATACACAAAAACTTACTTGAACCAATTTTTTTTTTAAAAAAAATTACACGAAGAATTTTTCAGTGAAGGAATATAAAAATATTACTCCGGGATATTATTTTTTATAATATTTTAGTATATATGTTCGGTTCGGGATTTTCGGTATGGGACGTCCCCTCGTACCGTTCCCAAATACCGTACCGAGCATTCGGTTCGGTATGGTTCGGTTCCTTCTTGGTATTTTTTCGGTTCGGTATTTTTCGGTTCGGTATTATCGATTTTTTTGGGAAATTTCGGTATCGGTTCGGTATTTGCTCACCCCTAATACATTTGATTTTTCCATTTTGTGAGCCCCTATATTTTAGGTTTAGATTAACAGTATTTTCTCTATGTCCGCGCAAATGGTCATTTTTTTGTAATAGAACACTCATTTCACATATTTATTCATTTTAGTATTTATATTCAAAACATGTACTCAGCTCCCCGTCCCCGAGTATTTGTCGAGTTTTGACTATTTGCAGTCAACCATATTTAATCTTTGACCTATAATTAAAAAAAATTCATATGGAGTCTTGAAGTGTTTTGGAAAGCTCTCTAGCTTGAAGATTCTTCTTCCTTAACATTTGTTCAGAGTTTAAGAAGCTATCAAAAGATTTATTTCATTATTCTTGAGGGTCAAGAATCGGCTGGGTCAAAGGATTCCTAATTGAACTCTCATAGGGTTTGTCTTACTCTATATATTCTCTACGCCCCTCTTCATGCAAAGTGGAGAGAATACCTAGAAGAGCCTATGATACACGAGAGATACTAAGATGATGTTAGGGAGAGTTCAATGTTTACATGAAGATCACGCCATCACCATCATATCTTGCGTGAGAACTCAAAAGCTCAGTTTTTACCATAAACCTAGAGCTGTTGAATGAATGTTTGTTCGATTGGGTTATCCAGAAGTTGATCTGTGCTATTCTGGAGAAGGGTTGCTAACACGTCCTTTGAAGAATATTTGAAAGGGTAACCAGTGAAGGAGACAAGCGCAAACTGAGTTTGTCGCCATAGTCATTTGTAAGTAGATTAAGTCAATGTTTTAGATCAAATCTATTAGGCTAAAATCTACCATTGGTCCTTCAATTTTGCAAGCTATGCACGATTGGTCCTTCAAGTTTCAAACGTTCACAAATAGTCCTTCAAATATTCAACAACCTCCAAAAGCAATCCTTCAAGTTTCAAAAGTGCATAAGTAGTCCTTCAAGCATTCATCAACCCTCCAAATGCAGTCCTTTTTACGGTACGCGTTAAAAGCTAAATGGAGTACTAGCTCCATATATATACCTTCCGGCCTGCAGTGGGTGCTAGATGCAACTAGCTCCATATATATAACTCCCGCCTCAGTTCCAGATGCAACTTCCGACCTGCAATGGGTGCCTGGCACTGGCCCCGTCCTCTGAGCTGCGCAGCGGGTCTTTCCTTCCCATTGTTAATGCTGGGGATAATTTTACTATCAAAGGGGCTCAATTTGAATAGTAAATAATACAAAACTTTGAATGGAATTATGGAACCCCATTAATTCCCTATACGTAAAAAACAATCACCTATGTATAGCTACAAGTACTTCGTATTATTTATATGGAAGTAGTAATCTGTTTATCATTGAATATGTATTGTAAAAAGTACTACATTTTTAGGGTTGATGAATACTTCAAGGATTACTTGTGGACTTTTCAAACCTGAAGGGCTACATATGGAAGATTATGAACACTTGATGAACTATTTATGGACTTATGAAACTTGAAGGACCAATCGTGCACAGCTCATAAAGTTGAAGGACGACCGTACCAATCGTGGATTTAGGCCAACCTATTATGATTGAAGGTGTAATCTTTACGATGATTTGGTGGAAGGATTGTTATACTGACCTGGGCCCTGCAGATGTAGGAGAGTCACTCCAAACTGCGCAAACATATTATTGTGTCATTTTACTGCTTTATTTACTTTCTTTTCATTTTAAACGAAACAAAAGGGGTTATAGCACTATGCAAAGCCTCATGTCGTTGTAGTATGTGTTGTAGCATTTTTGTGGCACACTTGGTTATTGTTTTTCTTGTTGTGTGTTCTACATAGCTTTCTCTGTTTGATGTTTGGATACCGCCACAAAATTTCATTTGGTATTAGAGTAGTTGAGCTTAAATTTCTAGCTTGAGTCGATCTTAAACATGAGCGATATGGAAGAAGGTGCCAACTTTCAACGTCCACCACTGCTTCTTTGGCCAAACTACAACTTCTAGAAAGGTTGCATGAGAGCTTTCCTAAAATCTCATGGTGGGAGAGTTTAGAGATGTATTGAAACTGACTCGAGTGAACTTATTGAGGCAAATGCTAAAGGAATGCAAAGAGCTAAGTGTAACACCCGCCTTCCGTGAACCCAATTCACCCGCGACCCAACGGACCGGTAGGGTTACATGGGCGGTCCGAGAACCGTCCGTTACAAACACATTAGTGATTATTTAATGTGAGAACGGTTACGTTTGATTTATGGGATATTAATGACTATTTATTATGAAAACGTTTGTGTTTAATTGGTGTAGTCAATGTTAGGATAATTATCCAAAACGTGAGTGATATAAATGCAGAGTAAAAGCGGAAGTAAATAAATGAGTAAAACGACAAATGGTGGGTTCATGCCCAAATGATTAATTAATTAAATGTATTCAATTACTGAACTTGTCCATGCGCCGCCCATCTTCCCACCATCACTGTCCTCCAGGGTTAGCACCTGCACCGTCATGTCTACCTGCGTGTAGCAAAAACAACTACACGCTCAGCATAAGCTGAGGAGTGAATCTAACAAAAGAACATTAAGTGATAACCCATATGGCTATACACATATTAATACCCGTACCTATCATACGGAAAACCACATGTTACTAACTGATTAATTTACACCTGTTGGGATACTATTACGTATGATGTGCTACCACATTGAATACGAACATGATGGGGAACATACATGATGATGACAACCACATTAAATGTTGACGTGACATGGAGCATACATGATGACTATATGACTTGATGCATGACTTATGCTATTAGGGACACCCCTGACTTAGTCTCACTTGACAGGATCACACCTGCACTCCGGTAATGACCCGGGCTCGACAATGTCGCAAATGAACTAGCAAAAACCGGGTGGTAGCCGTAGCCTAGCTACCATGTACGTACACAAAGCCCACTTGATGAAAACCCGTTGGATCCCGAGGGTTCCTGGACGGGCCCGCTGTAGTAGGCACACAAAGTCCTCCTTACAACGGTATGCACATGATGAAAACCTAGGACATGCGTCTAGGATGAACGTGATGAATACATGTGTTCAGATTGGACATGATGAATGCTTGATGCCAATAATATATCATATGAATAACATACATGATGAAGATTAACATTTAATGCAAACACACAATCAGATTCTGAGTCAAAATGGTCAACGGGGCTCGTTCTACAAACTGCCCGAAATACTGCCTGCGGAACGGTCGACCGTGTCCTACTGGCGGTCGACCGTGGCTATACTATGGAGGTCTGGATGGCCGACGGTCCACCGTGGTCTTCCGTCGTGGCCGGCGGTCGACCGTCACGGTGGTGACCGTCGGACTGGCCATGGGAACGGTCCACCGTCCGTAGCGGCGGTCGACCGTCCCGATGACAGTCTTATGTCTTTGGCTCCGTTTTGATCCGTTTTGCAAACTTAACACCCTGATTCTTTTTAGAACAATAATGTAAACATTGATAAATATATTCATAGTGATTCCTAGGCCAATATGTACAAGCTTTACGTAGTGAACGTTTTGATGGCTAACCTACGAACATGCATAGATTCTACGTAGGTTGCGTACGATATTCCTATGAATATAACAACATAGATTATAACTTGATGTTCTAGAATTAGAGGGAACAACTACTCACCTCTAAATGAAGGGGTTGACGGAACGATGAAACGAGATGAACGAACGGTTGACAACGTTGAACGACGAATGGTTTCTCGTGGACACCTCCTTCTTCTTCTCGTCCTTCTCTTTCTTTCTCTTCGCCGAAGCTCCGTCGTCTCCTGGGGTTCTACTGGCCGGCGGTGTAAGGAAAGAGGAAGAGAGAGTGAGGGAGTTGGATGGTTGTGTGTTAATTGTGTTGGGGGGTTACCAAATGGTGAAGGGTTGGAAGAGAAGAGGCATGTATATATTGAAGGGGATTAAATGAGAAGTGATGGGGCATTGAAGAGGAAGAGTGTGTGTATGGCGTGGAAGGGAATTAAATGGGGAATTAATTCCCTAAATTCTATTCCGTTATGTGAAATCTGACTTCAACGGTACGCGGTTTTTCCCCCGAAAGGGTCCGAATTGAGATTCGTTTCCGTTTTTGGAATCAGACAGTCAAAACAAATTTAATGATATGTTCAAATAATTTTTCTAAGAACCTTATTTTCAAACTTCTGGGTCCACCCCAATCATTAATTAATTCATTTAATTAATGTTGAGAGGTCCGTTATTAAAACATCTTTTATTAACTTTTGAAGTCTATTTAATGAGATCGAATTCTCAGTATTTATTATTAAAAATAATGAGTCCCAATAAATAAATAATATTTATTTATTTAAACTAGGCCGGTTTGTAGGGCGTTACACTAAGTGACAAAACCATTCGAGAAATACACAAAAAATGAAACTTGTACTACAAAATGCAATGATAAAGCATTAAATGCTTTTTTCGGGGCAATGGATAACTCCAATATAGCTAGGCTTATTTCAAATTGTTTTGAAGCAAAGAGAGCATGTGAGATTCTTGAGACTTATCATGAAGGAGATGAGCTAGTAAAAATAGCTAAATATAAAATTCTCATGACAAAGTACCAAAATATTTGCATGGATGACAAAGATAAATTACTGAGTTCCATGGGAGAGTAAGAGAGCTTGCTAATGAGGCTGAAATTAGGGGTGAGCAAGTACCGAACCGATCCTGAAATTTCCCGAAAAAACCGAGAATGCCGAACTAAAATAGTATCGCAAAGGAACCGAACCAAACGATCGGTACGGTATTTGGGAATGATACGAGCTGAGGTGACGTCCCATACTAAAAATCCTGAACGAAACATATATACTAAAATATTACTCCCTCCGTCCCCCATAGATCTTCCCAATAACCTTTTTTCTTTGTCCACAATAGATCTTCTCATTTCATTTTTTAACAATTAAAATACCACAACTACCCCCACTTACTTTATTTATTACATCTCACCCACCTCATTTAATACACTCCACCCATTTTCATTAAGGGTATTATGGTAAACTTTCAACTTTTTTCAACTCTCCTTAAAAACCACAAAAAGTCAAAATGAGAACATCTTAGGGGACGGAGGGAGTATAAAAATAATACCACAGAAGTAATATTTTTATATTTCTTCACTAAATAATAAATTTATTTTTAAAATTTGGTTCAAGTTCTATTATGTGTAAGTTAGTTCTATTATGTGTAAGTTATACTTTTATTTAAGTTTTAGTTTTTCTATATGAACATAAAAATATTCACAAAGATTCAAAATACTCCTTTGTTATCATTCATTTCTTTAGTTTGTGAAATATAAACTAAGTTTTGGTACACATCTCTTGCATTTAAATATTCATTCTTTTTATGTTTTTTATTTGAATTCACTTTCAATTTTCAAAAATTAAGGGGCATTGATAAATTTGAAGGTGTAAAGTAGGTATTTATATTCATCCTGATTTGTACCGAAACCGATAGCGAACCATCCGAGGTATACCGAACCAATATTTCGGGACCGTGATCGATAAAGTGTAAAATCCCATACCGAACCAAAATATTTGGTATGGTATCGGTATGAGATAAATATCGTACCATGCTCACCCCTTGCTGATAAGTGAGAAAACCCGTCAATGAAGACGATCTTCTCCTCAAGGTTCTAAATGTGGATGCTAACGCCATTCGTGAAACACATGATATAAAGAGGATGACTCTAGATCAACTCATGGGAAATCTAGAGACCATTGAGTTGCAAATGGTTAAGAAGTCCAAAAGGCAAAAGGCTGATAAGCAGATTGCCTTTTACAATTAACTACCATAAAAACGGCTTAGTAGTTAGCCATAATTTTTGAGAAAAATAAATATAAATTTTATTTTAATTTGTGAATCATAAATATAAACTATTTGTAAATTCAACTTTTTTGTTTAAAAATTAGGTAATTGGGTAGATAACGTAAAATGGCCACCAACGATATAAAGTTTACAAAGTTTAGACTTTTGTGGAAAAACTTATAAACAAAATAGATGTTATAGTTCACTATATAAATATGGAAATTTTATAATGAAATAATATTTAAAAAAAATTCCTAAATCTAAAGTATTCTAGATCTAACCTAATTCGTACGTGCAAACTGTTAGAAATAAGTGACCAACGCTAGAGGGGGGTGAATAGCGTTTGATCATAGAAATCGCAGGAATAAAAAAATTCAAAGGAGAAGTAAAGAACGTAGAAAGCATAAAGGGAGCACACCAAGATTTATACTGGTTCAACGTGTGGCTAATCCAGTCTCCCGAGAGACTCTCTCGAGCTACACTACTTCCGTTAAGCTTACGGGTGCTTAACAAACTGTTACAACCTGAGAACTCGAGTCTCACGAGCCTCAATACACTTGCTCGGGGAAACCGCACTCCAAGACTTCAACCTGAAGGAAAATACATTTCCTTCGTACGACCAAGGGAAACAAGCTTCCCTTAACGTGTATACAACACTAAACACTCAAGAACAAGACTCTCTTTAAGAGTAGATGATGAGTAAACTAAGTACGCTCACGAACAACTCAAACTTCGCACAAATTGGTTCTAGAAAGCTATGGAAAATGATGTTGTTTGAATGCAATGATAATATGAATAATGTGAAGTTAATTGGTGTTGATGGGCCGATATCCAGCGGGCGGCCCAAACTAATTATCCAACAGACGCCGGGTCAAGCGTGCGGTGACGGCTTGGATCTTGGCCGGCCCATGACACGAGGCCCGAACTAATCTAATTCAAAAGACAGCTCGCAGAGCCAATTTACCGGAGGAGACTCAACCGAAGGACGTAGACGAAGCCGGAAAAAGGGGATCGTGCTATCGGCGGAGTATACTCCCTTTGATTACGGATTACCTTAATTATCCTAAATCCATGTATAAATAGAGGTGACCTGAAATGGGAATCCTCAAGTTGAATCAAGCTAATAATACATACCTATAATTCTCGAGTTCTCGTTCTTATTTTATATCTTCTGATCCATTCTTCTGGATCGGATCATTCGGTGGATTTATTGTCCATCAAATTGGTGCTCTCGTTGAGAGCTCGAGGATCATACACAGGAAAAACCTTCCAAGAAGACAATGGTGCAGACCCGTAGCAACGCGAATTTAGGAACCAGAGTCCCTCTCTAGGGTGAGAACAATGCTACCGGAAGCCGCCACCCTCCTATTAGCGTGAGGGAGGCAGAGGCCCTCATCTAGAGGGTCGGGATCACCGAAGAACAGTTCAAGGAGGTGTTGGCGGCCTTGACCCCAAATCTCAAGGTTGTGGTGGAGGACGCGACCGGAGAACCCGCAGGAGGGAAGGCTTGACCTGCGGGCTCAGGAGGAAAAAAGAAGAAGAAAGTAAGGCGGTCCCAGAAGAAGAAGGCGGCCAAGCCCAACGGAAAGGCAAGGATGGAGGACGAGCTGTCTAGATTGGACGAGGAAGATGAGTCATCTTCCTTTGAGCGGGTGTCAGCCTTCGATCGGTTGGGAGATCCCGCATCAAAGATGCCCCGGACCTCGACGTTCGATCGGCTACAGGATACTCGGTCGGCTCGCAAGGGCGACTTGAGAGAGAAACTCAAGGAGAGGAGAGGAGAGTCCTCAGCAACGTCCAAGATTGGCTCAGAAGAGCGACGAAAGGCGATCGAGGACAAAGAAGCGATCGAGTTGTGGAGGATGTACGAGCGTTTGGAGAAGCGGCTGGATGCCCAAAATCCATACCGCCAGGCGGTCTTCAGCGAGGTAACGCCCTTCTCTAGAAGGATAATGTCCTGTCCTCTCCTGGAAAATTTTAAGACCCCGCAGGTCAAGTGCCGATGCTTCCTGGCCACATTGGAGGGGCAAGCTTGTGAATGGTTCCATAAGTTGCCCAAGGGGTCGATCGAAAAGTGGAGCGACTGAAAGGAAACCATGCAAGGATAGGCAGTGGAATATAAAAATTTTAACATCCTAACATGATTATCTTGCCCAGAATCACGTACTAAAACATATAGTGAGTAAGAAATTTATACCTTTCTCCGTAAGCGGTAAAAATGAAGAAGTCGTAGGAAGAGCGTTGAAAGTGCAAACGTAACCGTTCAAGCGTCCGGTCTCCAACTTTGACACACGAACAACGCCGGAGTCTACCACAATCTTTATGCTAGTAAAGATTATAGTAGTATAAAATATAAAGATAAAAATTGGGATAATAATAATCTTGTATATTTCTATAGAAAATATTTCCAATAATATTTAGAAAATATTATAGATATTTTCTATACACAAAATGATATATGTGGAACCAAAATAATTTTTTCTCTCACTAAAGTGTAATGGCCGAAACTCAAAGCAAATTAGATGATTTTCTTCTCCACTTGTTTTAATGGTGCGTGAGGTGCATATATAGAAAACAAATATTAATCTTTGTCATTAGCTAAATGACAAATCAATTAACTCCACTAAGTAATCAATCAATGAAATTTTATTCTTCACAATCTCATCATGGCCGAATGAATGATATGAGAAAGATTTTCAAAATTCTTCTCCACTTAAATGTTCAAAGTGTATTTTATTTGACACCAAAAATTAATATAAAATTAATTTTAAATCAAATAAAATACCAATATCATTTTTAAACAAGTATATATAAAAATATACTTTAAATAGTTTATGTCATAATAATTATTTTCATAATTAAAATGACAAACCAAAATAAAATATTCAACATATAATATATATATATATATATATATATATATATATATATTTCGGTATTTATATATATATAAATATATCACCGAATGTTTTACATATATATAATATTATATTCCAAAATATTTTATTTTACTATTTTACAAATATACAAATTACTTATTATCCCATTGTTTAATCCTACTCCTTAAATTGTTCAAAGTGTGTGACCCGTATAGGCACTTATAAAGCTGGCCACAGTATTGGCTCTGCACCAATACTATAAGCAATAAGCGGTATCTAGCAACACATTATTGCCCCCAGATTATAAGTTAAGACGTTTGCACCGTCAAAACCTTTCCACGACTCAGACTCCGTGTAACTGTATCCCTTTGTCTCAATGTCTAAACTTAATGCAAGGGATTAATAAAATCCA